GAGTGTAGGCGATTCTCGTGCCTCAGCCTCCCGGGTAGCTGGGACTACAGGCGCCCACCACAACACTCGGCTATTTTTTTGTTGCAGTTTAGCTGGGACTGGGTTCAAACCCACCACCCTTGGTATATGGGGCCCGCACCCTACCCACTGAGCCACAGGGGCACCCCCTGTAATTTAAATTTTATTCTCTGCCTCATTTCACATGTAGCCGAAATCTAATCCCATTAACCTAGGCTCTGACTGCTCTTGTCTTCCTGGAGTGGTGCTGGGAAGAGGCACTTACAGAAGGCCAAGGCATCTAGGTGGAGATATGTGGGGACCTGGTCCTTGGTCATAGTCATGGTCTGCCTGCTTGCTGGGATCTCCCCATCCCATCTGGTCATGCTGATTCATGCTAGCAGAGTAGTATCTGTCTTGTTCTCAGTTACAAAGTCTTTTAAATGTGCTCAGAGCCATAGTCTATGCCACTCTTCAGTGTGTATGAAACCCTCTGTGGTGCTCACCCAGAGGCATCAGGGTCTTCCAAATGTCTTATGTCTGCCAGGCCCCTAGCCAAGGGCATAGGGAAACCTGCTGCCCCCCTTTTATCCAGAAAAGGGGCACAGGGGTCTCTGTTCTTGATTTCCATACCACACTGTCCCCTTCCTTGGTAACCTTGATATGCCTGGCACAGTAGCTTTCATCCACTTGTATTGTCAGTGTCCTGCATTCTGTGGAGACTAAAGCCCAGGGTTGCACACTCCGGAGCCTAAGGAATGCATGCCCCTGATGGATGAAGGACGAAAGGAAAACAGAATGAAGAGGAACCTGGGCTGATGACTCAATCTACTTTTCTACCACATTGTGTTTTGCTGAGAAAAAAAAATTAGAAAGCACGGAAAAATGGGGGGCAGGGGATCCTGGGGAAATCCTCCAGGATTGAGAATTTTTTTTTTCTGTTTGTTTGTTTGGTTTATTTTTGAGACAGAATCTTACATTGTTGCCCCAGGCTAGAATTCTGATGGCATCAGCTAGCTCACAGCAACCTCAAACTTGGTTAATTTTTCTATTTTTTAGTAGAGATGGGGATTCACTATTGCTCAGGTTGGTCTAAAACCCTTGATCTCAAGCAATCTGGCTGACTCAGCCTTCCAGAGTGCTAGGATTACAGGTGTGAGCCACTGCATCCAGCTGATTGAGAATGTTTTTGATGTTCCCAGGACCCTCCCTGTGGTCTAAACTTTCCTTCCAGGATCCTGGTGCAGCACCTGGGGGGCTTCTGCCCAGCCTACCTCTGCCACGGCCTCCACCCCCGCTCAGAGGGGCCCCACAGGGTCCTGAGACCCCCTGACCTGTTGTTTCTTTCGGTCCGCTTCATCAGCACCCCTATTGAGCATGCTCCAGTGTGCACCAGCCAGGCTGCCACCCCGCTGCCACCTGCTTCTGCCCAGCCGCCTGCTGCTGCCTCTCCCAGCACAGCCTCGCCACCCCATGCTGCCACCGCCTCTGCTGCAGCCCCTGCCTCAAGCCCTGCGGACAGTCCAAGGTAACTGCCCCCAGGTATTGGCCCTCACATTAGGGAAGGGAGGCAGGAAAGGCACAGGTTTGGGTCTGTCTGTCTGTGTCTGTGTCCGAGGTGGTTAGGACCCTGGGACCAGCACAGCTTGGTGCACACTATAAAGAGGAAGCCGGGGTATATTTCAGTGCAGTGCACTGCCTTTGTCTGGACGCTGCTCTAGTAAGAGAGGGAAAACTCTCTCTCTCTTACACACACACACTTAGATAACAAAGGAAGGTTGTGTGGAAAGTCTTTGTTTCTGAACTAGGATTAAGGAGAAAGAAAGTCATGCATGTGGGCTGGAGAAATTAAGGAAGGCTCCGTGGAGGGGGGAGCCTTGAGCTGGGCACAAAGGCAGGTCAGATTTGGTCAGAAAGAAGTTAGCTGCTAACTTGCCCACATCTCTACCCTCTCTTTTCTTTTCTTTTCTTTTTTTTTTTTTTGAGACAGAATCTCACAATGTTGCCCTCCATAGAGGGCTGTGGCTTCACAGCTCACAGAACCTCAAACTCTTGGGCTTAAGCAATTCTCTTGCCTCAATCTCCCAAGTAGCTGGGACTACAGGTACCTGCCACAATGCCCGGCTATTTTTGTTGTTGTTGTTGCAGTTGTCATTGTTTTAGCTGGCCTGGGCCAAGTTCACCAGCTGCGGTGCTTCTGCCTCCGTGTATGTGGCCAGCGCCCTACCCCCTGAACTATGGGTGCCGCCCCCTTTCTTTTCTTGATGGAGAAGCGTGCTAACTCCAGAGGCACCTGGCATGGTGGGATTTAAATCTCTCCTCCACAATTTACTGTCTGTAACCTCTCTAAACTTCAGTTTCTTCATCTGTTAAGATATTTAACAAACACCTATTGTATCATGCCATGACAGAAAAAATGTGCATAAAACACGTAGCACATATAAAAGACACAAGTATTGGCTCGGCAGCCATAGCACAGTGGTTATGGTGCCAGCCACATACACCAAGGCTGGTGCCAGCTAAACCACAAAGACAACTACAATAAAAAAAAAATAGCCCAGTGTTGTGGTGGGCGCCTGTAATCTCAAGCTACTTGGGAGGCTGAGGCAAGAGAATCTCTTACGCTGAAGACTTTGCGTTTGCTGTGAGCTGTGATGTTACAGCACTCTACAGAGGGCAAAAGAGTAAGATTCTGTCTCCAAAAAAAAAAAGACACAAGTATTAGGAGTTCCTACATCCCAACATACCCAGAAAGGCAGAGACCAAAAGCCAGGGGAGGACAAAGGGGCATAGAGTGCGGGCTGGACAAGTCAGTCTACAGTCACCAAGTAGGGCAACAGGCTGGACAGACCCAGCTCTCTGGGCTTGCTGGAGCTGTCCAGTTGACGTTTGGGGGTCACAGTGTGGCTTTCTCGGCCTTTCACACTGCTCCCTAATGTTTTACTGGACAGGACATGCCTCTCCAAGTCAGGGTACAGCCTGAGGAGGGACTGATATAGGCAAAGTGGCCCGCACACCTATATGTGGTCCCCATCCCAGCTTCACATGGCCCGTGTGGCACTAAGCCCAGCCCTTCCGCAGCCTAACCTCAAGGGTGAAACTGGGACTGGGGGGATTTGCCAAGCTACTTCCCTCTCTGTGCCAGAATCTGTGCAAGTAAGGGTTTTGTTACCTGCACCAAAAAGAAACTCTGAGCAGGGCAAGAAAATTCCTAGTTATTGCATAAGAAGAAGCCTCCCAATCTGAATGGGGGAGCGCTAAGTGCTGGAGCCCTGGGGGCAGTCCAGCCTCATCCCTGAAGCCTCAACCCTGCAGAGCTCCTGGAGCTGTTGGGATGCTCTCAGCAAGGTGTGTCCTTCCTTCTTTGCCTTGCCAGAGAGCTAGGGCCTGAGTGGAACTTGAAGAGGGGCTCAAAGGGCTGCCCTGCAAGGAAAGGGGCTAGAACAGAGGGCACAGGGTTACATTCTGAGCCCAGTTGCCCCTCCACCTTACACATGGGTGAGGGGAACTGGGCTAAAAGGAGTCCATAAGAGTGTACCCCCCAGCCTTTCACTAGAGCATGGCCTTGGAGTTCTCATGGTGTATCCTAAGGCTCTGCTTCCTCTGCCAACATTATTCCCTGCGATAGCTCCTGGGATGCTGGCAAAGCATCTGCCACCGGTGAAAGAGTCCAGCTCAGACCCACTGACCCTTGACCCTCTCCCACCACAGTGGAATCCAGGCACCTCTTGGACATTCTCCTCCTCTTCCCACTCCACTGCCCTTAGCATAGGAATCTACTCAGGGAAGGGAAGGTGGACCTAGGGAGGGGAGACAGTGTCCTTACTCAGCCAGAAACTCACCAGCTTCACAAGGCAAGTCTGCACAGCCCCCAGGCTGGCTCCCCAAGGCACATTTTATCTCTGCCTTGTCTGGGCAGCTCTGTAGACCCCTCTAGATCCACTCAGGAGCTTGCCGATAAGTTCTATCCCAGGGCCACCTCTCTCTCAGAGCCCTACAGAGGAAGCACTCCTTCACCCTACTCCACTCAGCAGAGATGAGCAGGCCCCAGGCCCAGGGAGGACAGGTAGATGGAAGGTAGGAAGCCAAGGGGTGGGTGGGGGTGGCAAGCAGTGTATTTCCAGGAGTCAGTAACCCATTTTCCCTGTGTGTGGTCATGTGGTCCCCTTTTGGATCAGAAAGATGCAGGGCCACACAGGGATAGACCAGGGGTGTGTTCTGTAAGCTGTCCCTTAGCTTTCAATGAAGAAAGGAGTTTCACAAACAAACATAATTGAGAAATAGAGGATTAGACAAGGTTAAACAGGGTGCTGAACGGCAGGAGTTCTTGGAGCCTTCAGCATTTCCTGAGGGCAATGAACTAAGACACTTTTCCATCTCTGGTCCCATGGTCCTTGGGCCACAGAGGGGCAAAGGCAACTCTAGGCTCCTTGACAGCTAACCCAGTCAGAGGAGGGGGCAATAGGAATCCTGTGCAGAAGGGGGGTAGTAGGGATGTGTTAGGGGAGCTCTCAGGGGCCTTTTAGCTTCTCTTGAGCCCTCCGTGGAGCATTCTTGGCTAGAAACCCATTCTTTGCTGCTCCCTCTAGCAACAATAGAAAAGGGTAGGTGGAGGAAGCCAGATGGCCTGAGGCTGTGAGGTGCCCCATGGTCTGTGCCCTGAGGTAGCTCTGACCACCTCACCCCCCTGCTCTCTCCTGCCTCGCTGCCTTCCACAGGCCCATCCAGCAGTGAAGGGTTTGCCTTGTATCCTGTCTGGCTGCTGGCTCTCCTCTCTCTCTATAAAGGCAGTGGCACCAGACACCCAAGGAACAACTTCCTCCCCTCAAAGACCCCCATGGTTTTGCCTTCACAGCCTCTGGCAGCTCTCCAGGGACATCTCTGTCAGGTGTCCTTCTCATGGAGGCTCCTAAAGATCAGGGGGCCAGCCTGCTGTGACTGCAGGCCCCAGGACCCAGTTGGGGCTGTCCTTCTTGCTGTAACTCTTCCCCCATTGGTTCCAGGCCCCAGGCCTCTTCCTACAGCCCCGCAGCAGCCACCTCTCCAGCACCAGCCACCCATACCAGCTACAGCGAGGGGCCAGCTGCCCCTGCACCCAAGGCCCGAGTTGTCACCACTGCCAGCATCCGGCCTTCTGTCTACCAGCCAGGTGAGAGACAGAGAGGGAGGGGAGGCTGTTGAGGCTGTGCATGAGCTCTAGGAACTGGAGCTCCAAAGCCGCAGAAGGATGGTGGCCAGCAAGACCATGCTAATAAGGCTCAGCCCTCTCCCCCGACCCTTGGGCCAGAATCCTCTGGAGCCTGTGTCTGGCCTTGGGAGATAGCTGGGCAGTACAATGCAAGGATGGAACCTCCCAGCTCTTAGGAAGAGGATGCTGCTAGCTGGAGATTTCTAGCTTAAGCTGAAGGAAGAAGGGGCTTAGAGGGCGGAGTTGTTCCTCTATGAGTGTGGGTCTGGCACAAGGTGGAGTTACAGACAGCTATAACAGAAATGCTGTGGGCTTTGAACAGACCTGCTGCATCACAGGGTGACCCAGGACAAGGCTGTTCAACCTGTCTGGTCTTTTGTTTCCTCAGCTGAGACCAGATAAATGGAGGTATGAGGAACATGTGATGAGGCAGTGTGAGCTGGTGGGAGACAGAGGCAGCACTCCTTGGTGGTTCTTTGCATCTCTCTGGGTCTCTGGGCTCCAAGGCCCAACTCTCATTGGTGCTCAGGCTCCCCTCATAGGGGTGAGCTCAGCCCCACGGCCCCTCCTTTCCTAGGCAAAGTTGAGCCTGCTTCCAGAGCCTGTGAGTTATGCTCAGCTGAAGTGCAGCCCACCTTCCCCTGCCAGCCACTGCTCAAAGAAACTAAGGGCTCTTGAGCAGGTGTTTTCCCAGAGTGGTGGAAGGTACCATGTGTCCTGGCATACAGGATGTTCACCCACAGCAGGTGGCATCTAGGCCCTGAGTCTAGACACCATCCCCCCCCTTCCCACTGGATTATGACTCAACTCCAGGAGGACAAGTGTGTGGTAGATTTTCTCCACTGTATGCACTTGACTCAGGCTTGACACAAACAAGATGATCAGTAAAATTATAAGGAATAAAGGAACAAATGAATGGATGGATGGTGGGGAGGAATGGATAGCCAGCTGGGGGACATGGGGGTGGGAGAGGCTGTGAGCAGTGTTTTCTGTCCTCTGGCAGCTAGACACATAGAAGTAATAGGTTACATGGATTCCCAGAGGAGTCTTCTGGTGCCTGTTACGTAAATGGATGAGTTAGGGTTTCGGGCGGGCAAATACTTTTCATTTAAAGCACTATACTTTCAACATATTTATCTTTACGGCCATCTTGAATTTACAGAAAACAATTATGATTTTTCTATCTGCAGTGCTAACGCAAACATTTCTTTCTCCTCAAAATTATTATACAGCCTTTTTACTACAAGAGCAGTTTTAGGTCCACTGAAAGTGCAGAGATCTCCCATGTACCTCCCTACCCAGCATAGGCACAGCCTTCCAGTTACCCACATCCCCCACCAGCCTGGGCTGTTTAAGATTGATGAAGTGAGGAAATTAACAGCTTGTTTGGGAAAGAATGGGGTAGATCAGGGGTCCTCAAACTATAGCCCAAAGGCCACATGCAGCCGCCTAGGACATTTATCTGGCCACCTGGGTGTTTTTGCCGCCACTGCCTGTGCTGCTTAGCAGCCAACTGGTCCCAGGGCCGCAGTCTGGCCCTCTAACAGTCTGAGGGACAGTGAACTGGTCCCCTGTTTAAAATGTTTGAGGACCCCTGGGATAGATAATTCTAAGGGAGAGGAAGGAGGAGGAGGAGAGAAGAGATTTTGTTGTATGAGAGTTGGCCCAGCAGTTATAGAAGTTCAGAACAGTGCATACAAAGTCTAGGGTGGGCAGCATGTCCCGTTAAGACACAAGGAGAGACCCCGGGTGAATTTTTCTGTGGAGCTGAAGCCCAGGGGAGATAAGACTGAGTCAGGAAGGATCCTGCTTGGCAGAGCTTGAACTTGATGTGCAGGAGAGGTACGGGGCTCAGCTCTGTTTTACAAAGCTCCCTCTGACGGCAGTGTTGGGTGTGGATTGCAGAGCGGCTTTAGCATCAGACAGACACAGGGGCCGTAGAAGGCAAAGGGGAAGCTGGCCAAATTTTCTCATCTAAGAAAACGAGGATCTTGCTATGTATACCTTGCGTTTTGTGGATGAAATGAAGCACCTAGTCCAGTGTCTGGCACACAAGAGGTGCCCTTCTCTGTCCCCACAGGGGCAGGGGCAGAAAGTTCGGAAGTTAAAACTACACAGGATGAGGTGGCATTTTGGAGGTGACTTCAATGGTGAAAAATCCCGAATGGAACAAGCGGAATGAAGCGACGGCCCCTCTGGCATCGGGGACACAGGAGGGAGCTGGAGAGGAGTTTGGGTGCTAAGCAGCGAGTGTAGGCAAGGCCCGGTCCGTGCGCGGGGAGAACATTTCCGTCCTGTCCCGGGGCCCTTCGGGCACCTTCCGGGGCGGCTCCGCGCTGCGGTGCCCCCGCCCCGGCCGCCGGCTGTCCCCGGCAGGCCCGCCAGGGGGCGGCACCGATCTGGGGGCGCGAGCTGCCGGCAGGCTGGGCGGCCCCGGGCCCCTCCTACCACGGCTGGGGCTGAGGCGGGCGAGACGTGCGGCAGCCCCGGGCCTCCGCGCGGTTCCCAGACCGCGCAGACGTTAACTCATTCCTGCCTGGGGGCAAGGAGGCGGCGGAGCGGGCGTGCGCTGGAGCCGGCCTGCCTCCACCTCTCTCCCGGGGTGGCCTGGCTGCCGAGTGAGATCCGGGGGCGGCTGGCAGGCGGCCCAGGGCGAAGCTGGCAGTGTCGGCTGGAAGCCCCTGCCCTCCCCGGCCCGAGCGTCCGAGAGGGCTCTCGGTCCGCTTGAGGCCCTGAGCCCTCCGGCTGCAGCTCCCCGCGGGGCCTCCTCTGGGTCGAGGGCGGCGTTCGCAGCCCGGATCATATCGCTGGCCCCGGGCCTAGGCAGCCGCTTCCCCAGAACACCTGAAGCCGGTGGAAGGGGTGAGGGTGCCGGGCGCGGCCGGGGACAGCCACGTCTGCCCCTGGGCCGGGCGGCGGTTGCGGAGGGCCAGGCCCGGCCTGGAGTGAGTCAGAAATCACCTTGTTTAATTACACATTCCGGAGGCCGCGGAGTGCGATAGGGGCCTTTTGAACTCGCCAATTAGAGATGAAATATCACCTTCTAATTTGGACGGGCTTAATTCCATCACGCAGAAATAGCAACAGCCCCGAGGCTCTGAGATGGGATATCAGGTCTCTCGCCTGGCAAGTCCGGGTGCCGCCCCTAGGCCGGCTGAAGGACGCAGACCTGCCGCCTGACTCCGCTCACCCAGCCGCTCCCGCTAGGAGGGGGGAGACTAGAAGCGGCAGGGGAATGGCCAGGAAGGTCTCTTCTCTGGCTGGGTGTAGCCCCGGGCAAGGAAGCTGTCAAGCTGGAGTGCAGATTCTGTGAGACCTGCCACTGTGAGACCTTCGGGTCCTGGGAGTTTAGGGAAGGTGGTGGAGGGAGTCCAGGAGGGTTTCCGAATAGAGAGAGGCCACTGCCAGGCAGAGAGAATAGGGTTGGTATTACTGGAGGGAGGCAGGGAGGAGTTCTATTTATTTGGAAGAGCTATGCTAGAGTCTCTTTTGCCCCCTGGGAAGTGTCTAAGCAGGGATCTGAGGTTGAGTGGAGCTGCTTGAGCTCCAGGTCCAGCAAGGCTGGATGACTTTGAGGTAGTTCCTCTCCAACCTCAATTCCTCATCTGTAAAGTGGACTTAGAAATAGTATCTGCCTCACTCCTTGGATTGCTCAGAGTATTACATGAAATAGTGCACATTAAGGGCCTGATGTGGAAGCAATCATTTTGATGAGGGCAATACCATTCAATAAAAAAAAATTTTTTTTAGTAATCACATTTTAAAAAGTGAAAGGAAACAAGTGAAATTCATTTTAATAATTTTGTTGACCCAGTATATTCAAAGTACTTCAAAACATAAGTATAATCAATATAAATTAATGATTATTAATGAGTCTTCAAGGTTGTATATGGTGGCTCATGGCTGTGAGTAATCCTAGCACTCTGTGAGGCAGAGGAGGGTGGATTGCTTGATTTCATGAGTTCCAGACTAGCCTGAGCAGAAGCAAGACACTCCCTCACCCCAGACTCCGTCTTTACTTAAAAAAAAAAAAAAAACTAGGCGTTGTGGCAGCTGCCTATAGTCCCCACTACTTGGGAGGCTGAGGCAAGAGGGTGGCTTGAGCCCAGGAGTTTGTGGTTGCTGTGAGCTATGACATCACAGAACTCTGCCAAGGGCGAAAGAGTGAGATTCTGTTTCCAAAAAAAAAAAAAAAGTCTTCAAAATGGAGCATGTGCTTTACACTTAGTACCTTTCTCCACTCCAACTAGCCATGTGGGACTGTGTACTGGACAGCACAGAACTAGGGCTTTTGTTCTTAATGTTTTTAGCAGAGAACTATGCTTTATTATTTTTTTAAAGGAAAGCAACTATTGTAACAACCCCATTATACATAACAGAGAGGGATAAAGCTGCTCTGAAGTTTTACTAGATCACCTCTTCCAACGCCCCTCATGGCATTCCCTGAATCATTCCTCAAATCACCTCTGCCCCCAGAATTTTTGAGATCCTCTGCTCCAGGAACCAGGGAACTGTGCAAAGTCATTAGAGAGAGGGACAACACCTTACAAATTTACAAAATGTATACACTGTGTCACTCCCTGCTTATCATAGCTATAAGGCAGACAGGTGTCACGTATTCCACCACAAGAAAGTAGACTCAGTCCCAGGCTATCTGACTTTGAGCTGTTTCATCTCCTTCCCTGAGCTCCCTCTGTCTCACAGTCTACCTGGACTGGGCTTCCCAGATGACCACCAGGCCATGAGGTAAGCTGACAGGACACATGACCCTGAGACCCAGTTGCCAGGATCCTTGCCATGCTCACTCATATTTACTGACCCAGGTACTATCTCTTATCTTCACTTAATCCTCATAATAACCTTATGAGGTACTAAGAAATATTACTGCCCTTCTTATTTTTATTTATTTGTTTATTTAAGAGCCAGAGTCTCACTTTATGGCCCTCAGTAGAGTGCCATGGCGTCACAGCTGACAGCAACCTCCAGCTCTTGGGCTTAAGTGATTTTCTTGCCTCAGCCTCCTAAGTAGCTGGGACCACAGGCGCCCACCACAATGCCTGGCTATTTTTTGTTGCAGTTTGGCTGGGGCCGGGTTTGAACCTGCCACCCTTGGTATATGGGGCCAGTGCACTACTCACTGAGCCACAGGCGCCACCCTACTGCCCTTTTTAGATGAGGGAACTAAGGCCCAGAAAGGTTAGGGAACTTGCCCAAGGTCACACAACCAGGCTGGGACCTGGAGCCAGGGCTCTTGATGGGTGAGCTACGGGCCAGAGCGTGGGGTCTGCCCCATGTTGAAAATAACTCTTGGCTCAGCACCTGTGGCTCAAGTGGCTAAGGCACCAGCCACATACACCTAAGGTGGCGGGTTCGAATCCAGCCCGGGCCCGCCAAACAATGATGGCTGCAACCAAAAAATAGCCGGGCATTGTGGCAGGCACCTGTGGTCCCAGCTACTTGGGAGGCTGAGGCAGGAGACTCGCTTGAGCCCAGGAGTTGGAGGTTGCTGTGAGCTTTGATGCCACAGCACTCTACCCAGGGTGACAGCTTGAGGCTCTGTCTCAAAAAAAAAAGAAAGTAACTCTTCACTGATATGTCCACTGAGATTTTCTGGAAATTGGACTGATACTCTTTACAGAGGCAGCTTGGGTGATAGAAAGAGTGGTTTTTAGAGACTCACTCTGCCACTTACTGGCTTTGTCTGAGCCTCAGTGGCCTCAAGCACGAAGGGGGGATAATGTAGGACTGACTCAGATGATCTGTTATGTCCCTAGTCTACCCCACTATGAGTGGGAAGAAGGTTCCTTATGGAGAAGATTGTACCATAGGGAGCTAATAGCACTCCCAGGATGGCTCCACGGCAGTGGAGGGTTTTATTTATCTCTTACTATTTCAATAACACAGGCATGGTCCCCACTCACCCCCAGCAGAGAAGCTTGGGATAGAAGGGTGCAGAGCAGGAGCCACAGGTCACCCAAGGTGGCCCAGGGAACAAAGAAACCAGAGGCAGGATCAGAGATGTGAGAGCCCTCGGGAAGATCTTCCTCTCCAGTCGGCCCCTGTAGGAATGAGGAGGGAGGCTGCTCCAACATGCATCTGGGGCAGAGGTGAATGAGGCCTCTTCCCAAAGGGGCAGACTGTGAACTGGGGTGAGGCTTCAGGAACCTCCTTCATTGTGAAAGGTGGCCAGCTGGATCTTGTGTGCAGGGCACAGCCGGGTCTCCCTGGCTGGGTTTTGAGGGCCTATGCGTGACAGTGCTGTTGGGTAAGCAGCCACAATGCTCTATGTTGTGACGGCAAAAAGGTTTTCTTCTCTCAGAGAAGTGGAGGAGGAGTAGCAGAAGCCAGGCAGTGCGTTCTCCTCCATACACTCTAGCTTCCTTGGTAACCTCTGACAGTCACTCAGTCACTCATGTTCTCAGCTTCCACCAATGTGATGTGGGGGAACAGGGATCCCCCAGGGGGAGCCATGGACCAAGTGACCAGCTACACCTAGGCCAATGGTTCTCAACCTTCCTAATGCCACGGCCCTTTAATACAGTTCCTGTGGGTCGTGACCCATAGGTTGAGAACCGCTGACCTAGGCTATGTCCCCCACCATCTCTGCCCAGGCTCACTCTAGATGATTACTTCAAGATATCACACCCCTGGCTCGGCGCCTGTGGCTCAAGTGGCTAAGGCGCCAGCCATATACACCTAAGGTGGCGGGTTCGAATCCCCAGCCTGGGCCCGCCAAACAACAATAATGGCTGCAACCAAAAAACAGCCGG